GCGGCGGCGGCGGCGGCAGACGTCAGCGCGGCGCGGTGTTGGGAGTTCTGCGTCCGCAGCCGGAAGAGGGCGCGCGAGGCGACATCCTCAATGGTGTATTGGTCCAGGTCTTCGCCGCGCATCGCTGCGTACAGTACGGCCACATTGCCCTTGATGAGATTGAGCGGCTTGATGGCAGCCATGAGGCGGGTGTTGCTGGTGCCGTTCTTCAGGGCGACCTACAGGCGCGGCGGGATTAGGGATTGGGGAAAAAGTGCTTTTAAAACCCTTGGTTTCAAAATAAGGAATCTTGATTAAGAAACCATTATTATATTCATGGTTATAAAGCAATGAACAAAATAAGAACTATTAAGGGAAAAAGCGAATAATCACACGTGCGTCCCAAACACGCGCATATACATCAATACCGGCGCGCGACAGCGAACAAGGACATGGCAGGGACAGGCAAAACAAGGAAGGGGCCCCGTGAGACCAGCGGAGGTCAGAAGAAAGGAAGGCGGGCGAAGGTGTAAAGGAAGAAAGAGTCGGATGGTGGAGGGCACCGCCGCGCGCTGCCCGCGGGGGGCAAAAAACACACGGCGTGGGGAGCGGGGCGTGCGGAGATGGCCAGCGGGAGAGCAGCGGGACTGCGGGGTATACTGACATACATATGCCGCACCAACATGAATATGTACATGTGCGGAAGGGGATACAGAAACGGCTCCAGGAAGGCAACACTGAAGGAAAGTTGGGGTAACGAGGCTAAGCCATGAAAAAGGCTGAACACCTGAAGACTAATCCGTTCCTACCGCATGCTTCCTTAGGGTTTTTTATTACATGCCCCCACTGTCACCACCACCACCACATCCCCACTGCCATACCACACGAGTATGGGGACAAAGGCACGCCGTTACCACGGTACGGTACGGTACGGTACGAATATTTATAACTCGTATAGAGTAACGCTTTACATATTATCCTCATGTACGGCCACACTTTTCGAGCGGGACGGCACGGCCAGACACACGCACACGCACACGCACGGACCTGAAAGGAAATCTGCAGCGGCATGCCGTCCGCATGGCGCGCCTCGAAGATGCGACGTGGACCTGTCTTGTGCGCCAGCTTGCCGCCCTTCATACCGCCCTTGACGTCTGCGTGCGGTGGGCGGGTGTGGGTGGGTGTGGGCGGGTGTGGGCGGGTGTGGGCGGGTGTGGGCGGGTGTGGGCGGGTGTGGGCGGGTGTGGGCGGGTGTGGGCGGGTGTGGGCGGGTGTGGGCGGGTGTGGGCGGGTGTGGGCGGGTGTGGGTGCGAAGGGATGTGATGCGAAGCGGCGGGTGTCCGTGGCTATGAGGTACGACGGATCACGGACGAGTGATCCGGATACCAGGTATATATAGACAGATACTCCAAAATTCGACAGATGCTGCACCAGGCAATGCAACGCGCCACCAGAGAGCTCGGTGCGCCATCATGTGATATTACGCTTAGATAGAGCACCATCACCCGCACCATCACCCGCCACTGTCACCGTCCACCGTCACCCGCACCATCACCCGCCACCGTCAAGCACTTCGCACTCACGATGATTTCCCAACAGGGACTCCTTCGTAATGAGCGGCGCCGCAGCTGCGGTCTCCCCGCCGCCGCCAACGCCGCCAACGCCGCCGCCACCGCGACCCGCACCGCCCTCCGCACTCGCAGCAGTGGAGACGCGGTTGTCCCGCTCCCCTGCCACTCCTACCAGATTTCGCGCGCTGTTGCTACCAGGTGGTCCGAGCTTCAGAAACCGCGACAGGGGCTGCTGGCTCATGGTGTACGACGGTACGCCAAAGATAAGGCCTGGAGGGAACGCACAGAAACACACAGGGTCGGAATTTTATTTAATTTAGAAAGGGGCCAGGGTGCCCTAGAGACCGTAGTGCACAGCGAGTGTACGAACACAACGCGCACGGTCACACGGGGGCACACATGTGCGGGGGGAGTGCGGAGGCGGTAAGCAGGGGGAAGCCATTGCGCTGGCCCTTGACCGTGCATTCATACTGTAGTAGTAGTAGTAGTAGTATAACAATGGTAGATACCTCTGGTACGTGCAGTGGAGGTGCGCATGTGCACGTTGACAAGCACACTGTCGGGCCAGTGCCGGGTGCTCGAGTCGCTCGCACAGTCGTACACCCGAACGGACTCTGACTCCCATACATCTTCACACACTTTCCTCTTTTTCTCCGCTCTCTCTCTCTCTTTCTCTCTCTCTCTCTCTCTCTCTCTCTTTTCATTTCGCGCATGCAGAACCAAACGAAGTCTGATGCGCACCTATCTCTCTCTCTCTCTTGCTTTCTCTCGCTCTCCCCAACCCCCCTCATCCCCCGGCCTCCCCTGGGGGCTCACACCTGCAGCCGAATCGGCCTTGACCACCACCATCTTCTCGTTCATCTCCAGAACGCCGCTCAGCAGCTCGGGACGCCACAGCTTTACGGTGTAGTGCGTACCGGTGGCCGTATGCTGCCGTACGGGGAGCGAAGTGGGAAGAGGGAAAGCCGGGAGATGGGCGCACGGGGATGGGATGTAAGAATCGGAGGTAAGAAATGGAGACGGGGCTGCAGACGGGGATGGTCCACAAGGAGGATGCGACAAGACAACACCTCCGGGTGTGTGATGTCGGGTGCGAGGTGCCGCAGAGACGAAATGACGACATGATCGAACTTTGAATATGGGTATGAGCAAAGCTCAAAGAATGGGAATTAGCTTTGGGTTAAGAAATCGACTGGGAGAGGGGCGGGCAGGCCAGGCGAATGAAATCATGGCTGCGGCGGCGCGCGTACATGTGTGATATGGCACTCAAGTGAAGAGGTGTAGGAACAAAATCAACACAAGGGGCACACATGGCCCTGACTCACGCCAATGCTCGCAGCGCCCACATCTCCTCCGTCTCTCCTTACCCACCCAGCACGCCACATAAAGTGCTGCTCGCGCTTCTTCTTCCAATATTCCCACATAAACCCATCCTGCATTCCCCCAGCAGGTGCCGCGCGACAAATACACAGCCAGCACGGAGCTTTTGCGGGGTGGACCCGCCGTTTCATTCATCCGTACATCCGTACACAAATGTGACATCCTGTACGGAAGTACGGATCCGTACATGAGTTTGAAGTGTGACATCCGTACCTCTGGACCCATGACTTGCATGATAGCCGCGCGCCATTTGGGCAGTGACTGGCGCAGCATAGTCGCATTTCGCCTCATGCTACGTCGGTGGCTCAGTTGGCGGTCTGTGTGCAGACCTGCGGCGAACATTGCGGAGGGGGGAATGGAAATCGCATGTCCTCGGGGATGGTGCTTCCTATGCAATAAGCAAAGAGGCAGCTAGCAAGCCACGTCCGAAGCATCGGGGGGGGGGGGTTCGCTCGCCAGGGCAGTACAGATCGGGGTTGGGATCGGCTCGCCGATGTGCGCACAAAAGCACGGCGGCAAAAACGACAAAGCCGCAAAAACTGTGAGAACGACAGGTGTAACAAGATACGGCTATATGGGCAGGGCAGGGCAGGGCGGGCCATCCGGGGATTGATGACACACACACACACATACACACACATACACACACACGCACACACACACACAGACACACACACACACACACACACACACACAAACATACACACACATACACACACGCACCGGCCCCCGGGGGTCGTGGCTCGTCCCCCTGTTCCTCGCCCTCGCCGTGCTTCGACAGCTTCTGCGCCGCCTTCTCCAGCTCCAGAGACAAGTACTGCGGCAGCACGCCCACTCGCCAGGCGGAACCCGGCCGCGCGGCGGAGTGCTGGGCCAGCGCCTTCACAGCATGCATGACGCTGTGGCCTACACATCCGTGTCCACCAGGCGCGAAGGATAAATCGAGCAGCAAGGCGTCTTTTAAATTTTTAAATTTCAGTTTTCAAATTTGAAACTCAAACACGACAAGGTGTACACGAGAACAATTTAAGATAAAAAAAGAAATTTGGACAAGGAATTACGTATTAACGCGGTAGCTTTTTCCAAATCCAAAAGTCTTCTTAAAACAACAAATGGGGTCGTCTACCTGTGTCTTAAGAGTCATTGTTCCTAATGACTGAAGCTCCAGCCAATTTACGGCAAGCAGACGAACAACCTCGGGGTGAAGGAGCCGTCGGATAGACTGAAGGGAGGGGTAGGCGCGCCGGGTAGGTGCAGCCGCGACAAAAACATCCCGCAATGCCTTGGGGCCTACATATACCCACACGGCAAGGCGCTAACAGCCGCTGATACCCCGCCACGTTTCCCCCCTCTCCCACCTTGGCTATGCCAGTCCAGGAAGATATCCACCGCCTCGTATAATTTGCGGCCCAGTAAATTCTCCGGAGGGTACCCAAACACCTGGATGCGGTCAGGCGGGCAGGGGATAGCAGGACATACATACATACATACATACATACATACATACATACATACATACATACATACATACATACATACATACATACATACATACATACATACATACATACATACATACATACATACATACATACATACATACATACATACATACATACGGGATGCTCAGTCCTTTGAAACACGCAGTAAATGTGTACACGGCGCCACAACAGTCTTGTGGCAGGCGAAAACCCGGGCCTGATCCGGCACACGACGTGACACGATATGACATTTGACGACACACTTGCACGTGTCGGGCCAGTCGGGTCGGCGCTGGGAGCCATACACAAGGTGCCGCGAAGGATCGTGCGGGGAACGGGGGGGGGGGCTAGCCGGGTTTTTCTTCTTTCTTCACCATCTCCTTGCCTGCGGCCGTGGAGGTCCGCCGTCGCCCAGATCGCCCGGCGCCCCAAACGCGGCCGTCGGAGCGATGGCCGGGGGCGCCCCGGCCACACTAGAATGCGGGTGGTGATGCGAGGCGCTGCTGACGCTGATGATGTGGCCGTGTTGGTCTGTGGTGATGTTGAGCCGCTGGTCGTCCAGGGCTTCGTCCACGGTGACGCGGGTGGCGCGTACGATGTTGCTGCGCACAGGCGAGTAGGTAGACATGCAGACACACATACAGATAGCCAGGTCTAGGTCGACAGGTAAGCAGCAGGTAATAAAAGCAGCAGCAGCAGCAACAGTAGCAGTTCAAATATTATTATTATTTTAACTAATGGTATACATATATATTACTAAGAAATATAATGATATTATTATTGATATTATTATTATTATTAACAGCAGGAACAGAAGACGGGCATTACTGCAAATTTGCGGGTCATGGGGGTCATGAGAAAAGGTAAGGTCATGGGCAAACCCCAGTTCGACACCCCGTCGTGCCCGCGCATCTTCTGTTCGTGCCTGCCAACATATCTGCACCCACACACAACACACCCTAAGTTAACCCATTCATCACCATCACCAACACCAATACCAACATCACAATAACCAACACAATAACCAACACAATAACCAACACAATAATTTCACACCAAGCCACACACTGTTTAGTTTCAAGTCCCAAAAACCCAACAATGCAACACATACAGCCGCCCGTCTTACAAGACACGCACACCCCAACCAGCCCCAACTCACACATGGAAGCCGCCAGGCAACTCTCTGGATGTGATGACCATGCGTACGGGCACATGTACGCCATTGGACGACACCAAGCTGTGTACGGCACCCGCACGGCAGCTGGACGGCGGCGGCTTTGACGACAGCGACACCTCCGCGTCCTTTATCCAGCGGTGGTGTAGGTAACCAAAGGGCTGCGGCATGAGAGTGCCCAGGTCGCGACCGCGCATGTCCTTGGGCCGGGTACCCAGCAGCGAGCACAGCGCCTGGTTGGCGAAGAGCACTCGGCCGTGGTGGTCGAGAACCATAGTGGGGGTCACCTCGCCCACACGAGTCATGTTGAGGACCAGTAGCCGCTGGTCGGAAGTGCCTGAGGGACAGCAGGAGGAAGGGGAGGAGGGGGAGGGAGAGGAGGGGGGAGGGAGACGAGGGGGGGGAGGAGGATGTTTAAAAATATACTTTTGCAAACAATACACAACTGCCTGTGCTGCTCGCACATGACTAGGGTAGGCGCGGGACAGGAGGGGCAGGTATCCGTTCATGATAATAAGGGCGGGAGGGGCAGAAGTTGCGTGGTGAAGTCTGGGCAACCTTTCCTAAGCTGCATGAGCAGGAGCAGCGGCGCCGGGTAACCGGGGGCGCTACCTATACAGGATGATAATGATCAGAGAGGGTGGAGGGGCCGCAGGCGGAGGAGTATTAAACCCTCGAAGACACGCCAGGGACACGTCCTAAGCTGAAGGAGCCGATGTAAGTGGGTGGGGAGCAGAGGCAGGGGAATGGGGGTTTGGGGTTTGAGGGGTTTGTTAGGGAATGGGGAGGGGGAGAAGAGAAGGGTTGGTTGGGGCAGGCCCCCGGCGGGCGAAGGCTGCAGAATAGAACATGCCCGGGGTATAAAAACACATCGCTACCGCCACCGCACGCGCGCGCACACAGGCTCCCGGACTGCCCGGCCGCTTACCACCGAGCTCCACGCGAACCGTGACCGGCACGTCCTCAGCGAACTTGTGCGTGAGCATGATATCGGTCTGCCGGGAGAGGATTTAAATTTTGAAATTTGAATTTTGAATTTTGAAACAAACAACAACAATGACGACGACATCAATGGTGATATTGAAACATATATCTATGTTTCATCCTTACGTGGCAATATCCACGACAGCAACAACTACTCGCACCGCCCAACGGTTTAGCCCAACGAAACGCCGGCCGGCATATGCCGGGACTGGGCGCTGCTCTTCAAACGAGGCCGGAGCCCCTCCACATCCAAGCTGTGTGTGCGTGTGTTATACATGGTTGGGGGTGCGTGACCCCATACCTGAAGAACTACCCATACGAGCCGAAGGCCCAAGGGCAATATACCAAAACGCCTAAAAGCCACGGAGGAAAGGAAAATACCGCTAACATCCAGGCTATCCAAACCTTAAAAAACCTAAGGAAAACACACATTTCCGTAACACGCAACCCTTTTGGTCAAATACTCTCACGTTTAATAAACCCTCCGCCAGCTCCTCCTCAGTGGCCTTCATGGCTTTTTCCAGCAGCCTGCACGGGAAAGGCAGAGAAAGAGAGACGGGGGGGGGGAGAAAGAGCGGAACAGAAAAGGGGAAAAGGTTCCAGACGGGCTCAGCGCGCAGATGTCAACAGCTGGAGGTTGGAAAAGAAATCGCGGGCAGGGGGATTCGAACACATATAACACATGTTTCCCAAAACCCACGACAGGCCATCCCGTAGGATCGTAAAAAGGCGCATTGCCCCCCCACACCTGTCAACTGCGACCGGATCGACCGCGATGGAGTTGAATGGCTTTCCAATGAGATCGTTTGGGGCCCAACCCGCATAGTCTGTGAAGGACAAGTCGGCACAGAGCGTCACGCCGTTGGGCATGAGCCAGGCCTTGATCTGGCTGGGATCGGCCTCCACCTCCTGGGGGTTGACAGTTGACAGTTGGAAAAAGGGGGTTGGAAGCAGGGCGAGGAAGGGGAGGTGAAGGTGGCGATGGCAGTGTGGAGGAGGGGGGGACGAGAGGGGTCGGATGAGCCTGAGCCAAGCACTCGTCGCATCTACACATGCCATATCTCCGGGCAATGAAACACACACACACACACACAGCCAGTGCCTGGCCCGGTCAGATACTTGTAACCTTTACATACACACACATACGCCCATTTCTACATGTGCACGCCACTTCCGTCTACATGCTCAGATTTCCTAATTTGGCACACTAAAATACATATGCGTATCAGACACACACGCGCACAGTTGTTACTTCGCTCTTTGGCGCCCCACCGGTGCCTCAAAGAGCTAAGTAGTGACCGGTGCCCCTGTACGAGCTTTCCTTCCACCCCTTTATATGTAAAACGGAATCACTCGAGGTGTAATACACACACACGTACATACACAGACACATACAAACCTTGAGAAGGCCCATGAAGATTGCGTCTGCGCCGGTGCCTTGTGACTTGGACACCAGAATCTTGATGGGGAACACGTACCGGTCTCGGTGAAGTGCCACCACCTCGCGTAGCTCGTCCAAGATCTTGGCCTTCCCTGGAGGAGCATCATCATCATCATCATCATCATCATCATTATCCATCAGATAGGATCAGCAGAATGCGACAGCACCAGCACCAGTGGCAGGATTAGCAGTGACAATAACAATGATAACAACAACATCCGCAACAATAGCAGCAGCGAACAGCGCAGAGGTGGCCAGGGACAAAAGATGAACAGCATAGAGAGGGAGTTGAGCGATTGGAGTGCACGCGGCGAGCTGCCGGTTGTGTGTGTGCATGCGAAGCAAACAACCAGACAACGCAAACAAACAAACAAACAGCGCAGCAGTATCTGCGCAATGCGCCTTTTGCGGGTTGATGTGCGTGTGTATGTGTGTGCTAGAATGCGCAAAGCCAACAAGCCGCACACACCCGTGGTGACGTAGTTACGGAGGTAGGTGTTGTGGCGGGCGGAGAAGGGCTGTGGCATGAGGCAGGACACGTTCTTGCCCTCCAGCTCGCCCTTGCTGTAGCCCAGCATCTTGTTGGCGTGCTTGTTGGCCATCTGGATAATGCCCTGTGGGGGAGCACACGCGGATGCACGGGAAATTCGCGTCGGCGAACCTCCTTGGATTGGCAAACCTCATTTCGCGGGTTGGGCGTTCCTCGCGTTCGAATCCGCATTCGAATCCGCGCCCAAAGTCTCGCGTTCGAATCCGCGTGGTCGGTGCCCTGGTGGTGAGCTTGTTCTTTAACAATCGGACAACGCCTTCCCCGACAGCGTGCGAGAGGAGGACCGCTGCGCAGGCTCTTTCTCTCCCTCCCACCCCACACACACACAGCCCGAGACCACAGCATCCAACCCCGGGTCGCCAGAGCCCTAGGAATCGTTCCTGGTGGTGTCACCCATCTGGGTCAACATGACGGTTTGATTTGCTTTGTCCGGCGGATAATTACCAAGTCATCTCCTTACTCAACCCGGCTTAATCCGGCGTAATTGGATTTCGCTCTTAATAGTCTCTATTACTCCTGACCCAGCCCCGACCCACCGACCCACCATGGCGTTGATGGTGACGATGGCGGAGTTGCGCATGGTGAGGCCCTCCTCGCCCGCCAGGTCGTGCTCCGCGTTCTCCAAGGCCTCCTCCTGTTTCTCCGCCTCTCTGAGACACACGCATGTGTGTGGGGTGGGGTGGGGGAGGAGGAGGGGGAGCAGCAGGAGGGGCAGCATCATGAGTAGCAGCAAGCAGCAGCAGCAGCAGCAGCAGCAGCAGCAGCAGCAGAAACAACGGTAGTAGATATGGCATGCAGATCATCATGATCAGTAGTAGTAGCGACGGCTGCACAGCAGCAGCATCCATATCCACATTAGGCTCAATGGCGGACGGGAAACGGGTACACGGGGGACATTCTTTGACGCAACGCAATGCCCCGGCTGCATGCATCATGTAATGGCCACGTATGCGTTATTACATAGGGGAGATCATCATCATCATCATCATCATCATGGGCAATCCCGCTCACGTGTAAAACTGCGCCGCGGTCCACGGGTCATTCTTAATCGTCTCCAAGAAAAGCGCGTAGCTGCGTAGTAGCTTGACGGCCTGGGGCGTGTTGGAGGTGTTGGAGGAATGGGCGGCAGTCCGCAGAACGGGGCCGGGGACACTGACACTTCACTTCTTCATGTTGCAGTACCCAAAGGCCTTCTCCCACTTGACATATTAATTCCAAAATAATATTTCCACAATAAAAATATTAAAAACAAATAATAAAAATTATTCCATTCATAGTTCTACAAAAAGCTTCGCCCTTGGTCATGTGAAAATCAATTTATACCGCTAAACGACATTTTATTATGATTAAAATTACACTTCATTAAATAATAGTTATATCACATTAATAGTCTGCCGTAAATTTTATTTATATATATTTCATTTTATTATATCGCATTGAAAACGACAACGTAGTTTCGGATATGCATAGACCAACTCAAGCTGCCAGAAGCCCCCGGGGAAGGTACAAGAGGAAAGAAGAGGCACCGACAGCTAAGGAGAGGGAAGTACGGCGAATCCAGAACCCGAACCGCGAACGTTGGCAGATCTCCGTGCCTAGACCAAAGTTAAAAGCCAGCGTCTTGGCACATCCACCTTCCCGCCCATTCACATTTCCATGCGGAAGACCAACGAATGCGGACAAGACCGAAAGCTAATAAGACTGTACGGCAGAAAACCACAATCCGTACAGAAAGGTTCCCTCCTGACCTTGGGATAGCGCTCCAAAACCATTTTGTACGTCTTATCCGCCAAACGCTCCATCTGCTCGATCTTGCGGAAAGCTGACGTCAGCGAGTTCATATTGACGGCGTCGTACAACAGCAGGCGCCAGAACTCCCGCATTGACAGGAGTGCGGCCTTATGGTACGACTGAATCAAGCTGTACGGCAGTACAAAGCGGGGAAGACGTGTGTAGATAAAAACCGGAAAGGACGGTGGTTACGGGTCCAACGCGTGTGTGCATGTTCCACCAGCGAGCCCGATACGCCTATATCTTTACCCGTCCTGGTGCCTCAAGAGGTTGCATGGGTCCTTTTGCCTCTGCCACGGGTGAACTAAACCCGAAGATAAGCGTTGATGGAAAACCCCCGACTGGAAAACCCCTGACGCGATACACAGCCGGGGGGGGGCTGCATAGCTATCGTGGGTGGGTGGGTTGCGCGCGTGAGTCGTCGAGATGAACTCAACCATCAGTCCCTAGGTGGCTTTCCGCGTACCTTCCAAGCGGGTGCGCACACACACACACACACACACACACGCACACACACACACACATACACACGCGCGCGCGCACGTGGGAAAAACATGTGGTACTTCTCCCCCCGCCCTCACCCTCACCAACGGAACTACTCACCGGTAATTCCGTTGGAACTCGACGTACGACACCAGATCCGCGGCGCTCTCGCCGCTGCTGCTGACCGCCGCCTTCTGCTTATGCTCTTGCTCCCGAGTGAAAATGGAGAAGCGGTACGACAGGTTCAGAGGCATGCGACGAGCCTCCTCCAGCTGCGACCAGCCGCTCTGCGGAACAAGGGGGGGTGGCGAGAGAAGGGAGGGTCCCGGGAGTTTCGGAGTCGCATCCAAGAAGGCAAAAAGACGTGAAGACCGTTGAAAAGTCAAAGATGGCGGAGGACAGGTGGCTGGCTGTGGAGGCGCCCCCGAAGAACCATGCCTGATCTTAGGAACAGAAAGTGCGCTATAGTCCAGGGGGGAGGAGAAAGGTCTAGGGGCGAAGGGTTATCGACACGGGGGGGGGGGGGCGGAGAAATGAACCCCCAAGACGAGGTCCTGACAAGGCATTCAAGATAGGACTTGTTCACCATACAAATACACGTGCACAATCATCGTCTTGGTCCCCTGTTGGATTGACTGCTTCTCCTGGAACTAGAGATAAATTCAAAGCAAAGATATAACTAAATTTGAAATAGAAATTGGAGTATAACTATGCCCCCCTTATCGGTGGCGGAAGCGCACACACACATACACGCATACACGCACACACACATACACACATACACACATACACGCACACACACATACACACATACATACACACATACACGCACACACACATACACACACATACACACACACATACACACACACATACACACACATACACACACATACGGAAACCCTCTCCAAAAGCCTTGGAACCCGTCAATGTCCCAAAGTAAGTAAGTCCCAAAGTCCCAGGACTAAGGAAGGAAGGGAAGGAAGGTCTTTTGCATGCAGTGTCTGGCGCGCCTCCGACACCCGCCCATGCAACACGGGTCTTATGATCACCGCCACACACAAACAGGCCGAACGCCTGATCTTCTAACCTTGAGCTGGTAGGTAAAAAGCTGGCCATTACATACAAACCGCCGCTCTTTCCAAGCCGAGAGGTGGTTTTTATATCCGTTCCCCCGCCCGCTAGGTTATTAGACGTGCTCTCCACACATCCCTCCATATCCTCCATCCTCGTTATAAGACCTCGCGACAGAGAGCGAGGACACGCTTTGGGGTCCTGTCTAATAGTAAGCCACACACACACATACACATACCTGCAGCTGTTGGCGGCATTCAATCAGCAAGTTGGCGTAGACGATGTGAAGGTACGGCGACCTGCAACATAGTAAGCAGGTAACGAGGATGATTGTGTAGGTAAGTAGCACGAACGACACAGCCCTGATACACAGCCCCCATCACACCGGTGTATAGAACGGGTGTATCGGGCTCGGCCGCCGGTGTGTGGCCCCGGGGTGTGCCCCGGGACGGGCGGCACGATAGTTCCCCCGTGAGTGCATGTCTCCAAGTCTAAAACCCTAAAAACCCTCTAAGTGATGCCAGACGAACAAGTTTTAAGTTATATATCACTTGTTCGTCTGACATCACTCCCGCCCTCATTTTCATTCCATTCCTCCTCGCGTCTCGGTTTCTTAGGACAAGGGCAAGTGGAGGACAAGTCTACGTGGGGGAGATGGTGAAGGGGGGAATGAGAGCCCGAATGAGGGGGTAGCGGCTTACAGCTTACTTGGGAAATTGCTGTATGCCTGCTCTCAGAATCGTCTCCGCAAGGTCCAGGCACTGCTGGTCCAGATTCCCGTCCTCGTCCCACACGCGGGCGATGCGGGAGCAGATCTCCACCTCCTTGTCATCGGAGAAGCGGTGCACGCGCTTCGAATACAGGTTGGGCTGCTGCTGCAGGATCTGCAGGGGTGGTACATGAAAAAGGGTGGTACATGAAAAACGTTTTCCTTTTTCATATTACGGGGGCTCAAATTTAATTCCAGTCAAGGAATAGCGAACTATCCTATAACCTTGAGGCGCTGGTGGGGTGGCCCTCCACCCCACCAGATATATTCAAAGTGTTAAATTGACAAAAGAACAGGGGCATCCATGCGGCATTGTGAGGTTCCCTGCGATAAGCTATAAGGAGCCTTTTCGGGGGAGGGCGCTCCGCCTCCGCCTCCGCCGTGTTGGGTGTTGTTGGGAAATGCTCCAAGTCGACCTCTGTCTGGTTGACCTCCGGTAGCTGGGACCCTTCCAAGGACTACTGACCAATCCATTCCCCCCCCTCCACACACACACACATACACGCACGCACACATATCTGAGGCCCCTGAGGCTTTCTTTGCAGGACGGAGACGACTTTCCGGCCAACTCTGGCCCAAAGAATGGATTTGTGCGGCCGGAAGTAAATCCATTTTTTTTCGCAGCCAGGTAGCAGGCCACAGAGAAACCCCCAATTAATCGTATTATGAAGGGAATCTACTCCTTTTAGGAGAAATGCTGCATGAAGAACGCGAAGAAATGCAGTAGGGGATGTAGGGGATGTAGGGGCCAGGCTAATGACGGCGCAGGCAGAAGCATGCAACACTGCACGCAACGCACGTACATACGTACACACGTACATAATCATCCGGCAGTGGCTGGAAGCGGTTTGCTGGTTGGTGGGTTAGTTAAGGTTGGTTAACGCCAACTGCGCAGACTGAACAAGGGATTTTTACTTCCCCGGTTTCCTCTCACGACCTAATATGCGCACCTGGAATTTGAGAGCGACCCGGAAAAAGTAATACAGCCGGATGGCACCCAGGAGGCCAGCTCCGAAGAATACGACAGGCAGGCCGTACAGCATCGACTGCGCGGCATTGGGACAGGTAAAGGCACAAAGCCGTGTCTGCAAACGTCGTGGCGGAAAAAGCACCCCGGCTCCTCTTCAAAAAAAACCGTCCTACATCCGCAACCATTGCGCCTGGATCCTTGAAACTGGATCCTAAATCCTGGTTCATGCAGCCTAGATCTTTCAATCCTGACGCCTAGATTTTTATGTTCATTTAAAACCCGGATCCAAGCGTCTGGCACTCACGTTTGTAATGCTCTGAGCCGTTTCGAGGTTCTCGGTTTGCCACAGAATGAAGCCTAGACTGCCTTTCTTGGCCTTGTGGGACTTGACAAGGAACACCAACACACCCAGGTGCAACCCCACCCAGGCATGCGCCGCAAAGAAACACAGCCGGAAGCTGTTCATCCAGGAGGTGTAGTACGGAAGCTACACATACGGCAAACAAAGTGTACGGTAAGGAAGTGTACGCGAGGATGGAATGGGTTTAGGGCGGGTTGGGTTAGTGGAGAAAGAGGTGGCTGAAGGAGTTGGGAAGGGTAAAACAGGAAGGGGCGGGAGGCGCGGAAGGGCCGGGTGATGAGTGGCTGACCCATGGGACCATGGGAGAGCGCAAGGGTCCCCCTGCTTGCATAGCCGCAAAAGACACACACCGCGCTTCACTCAGTTCATCATACCAGCCAACGCACCACTCCCTGGCCCCTCCCAACCCCAAATCCCTTCTTCCTTCTTGTTTATTTTATCTAACAAGAATTTCAGCCAAGAATTAACAAGAAATAATAATAATAATAATAATAATAATAATAATAATGATAATAATAATGATAATAATAATGATAATAATAATAGTAATAACAGTAATAATAGTAATAATAATATACCGATCTTGGACACACTGATCAAAACATCTCTTTCATCGGGAAATAAGAAACCTGTTTCCGACACGCGACACCTATTCCCGGGGTTGCCCCCCCTCGCACCCACCTGCTTCAAGTGGAAGTAGAACGTGGCTCCCGTACAGAGGGCAAACACAACTCCCTGCACGCGCGGGTAATCCCACAGCAGCACATCCACCACCGTGATGACCGTCTTGGCCAACTGGGCCTTCAGCTCCGTCATGCTGTGGGGGGCCGCCAACAAACTGCGAGACATGGGCTGCAACTCGTGATCCGCAATTACCTGCAGGGACGCGAGTACAAGCTCGTTTGTGTGTGTGTATGTGTGTATGTGTGTGCGTGTGTTTTGGGGTTCGGGAGAGAGCTCGCGGGGTGTGGGTGGGTGGGTGAGGGTGCGTGCCGGCTCGTAAACGTTTATTGGGATCGTTTAACTTGGAACTGTGATAGGGCGCTACTGGGCGAGAGGCGCGGGGATGAGCCTAGGGGGAGTTGTGTGTGGGGGGGGGAGAGAGGGAGAGAGAGAAAGAGAGAAAGTGTTGGGTGAAAAAAATCCGGATTGAGAAAGCAGGGGCGGGGAAATCCGAATCGAAACCAGAGTCCAAACCCGCATCTCCCGAAACCCCGTCATACTGACCAGGGCGCCAGGGACTGATGACCCCTTCCGAAACCAGTACCAGGATCTTTCACCCTTAGGATTCCCCCTGGGCCACGTGGCCGATATCCTCCCCCGAGCTCAAAGCTCCCCAAACCCCCCCGTTCGTTGTCGCCACCGTCGCCGCCGCCGCCGACGCCTCGGACCATTCAGCCCAGTCCTCGACCCCCTCCCCCCCACACACATTGGTGCCCATATGGAAAGCATGCAGTGCTCACGAAGCCCCATGGCCGTGGCGGACCCGGCAAGTTAACAGTTAGTGCAGTTGGTGCAGTTTGGATGTCGCCAGTTGCCCCGCAGAGAGCTATGAAGGGAGTGGTCCTCACCGCCTGCCCCGCCTACCGACGGGGTCAGCGACGCGGGGTTCGCGACCTTCTTTCCAGCTGCTGCTGCTATTGCCGGTGCCTCGATAGCAGCTGGTGCTGCTGGTGCTGCTGCTGGCGCTGCTGTTGCTGATCCTATTACATTACGCTGCAGGAGCAGCCCCGCCATGCCCCGAGGTGTTCCTTGCCGGTGTGTTTCAGCTGCCTGTCTTGCCAGCATGCAGCCGATATGAATGTGCGGGGGGTCGCCGCCGCGCCGGCCGAACCCCGGGCCCGTCCACCCCCGGCCCCATTATCACGCCCCCACTAACCCGCCCCCACTAACCCGGCTACAATCCCCTCGAACCCCCATCACTGCCAAGGCCGATGCCGAGGCGACTCACCAGCAGCAGCGCCGCCACTGCAAAAATGAGGCAGCTGAGGACGGAGAAGATGGAATGTATCAAATGCGGCATTGCCAGGCATTCTGCATCGAGACAGAGGTGCGGTCAAAAGGTGGGGACAGCGTTAGATTGAGGCTCGGCTTTTAGCGTTTGGGTGGCGGGTAAGTCCGGGCAGGGACGGGGCCCTGCCGATGTCGCGATTTGTGAAGCCCCCGGCCGCAACCCAGACTTCACGATTTCCCAACCCGCACCGCATAGTTGACACTTCCACCCTTCCCTCCCGCGTTGAGAGCACAAGGGCCGCCCAGTATTATCTCTAATCATGTGTTCCGCCCCCAAGGCTCCGCCCCCAAAAGCTCCCCCGGCCGCTAACTGCTATGGCTTCTGGTGCTGCTGGTGGTGCTTGCGCTGGTGGTGCTGCTGCCGCGAAGCTGAATGCGCCGTCGTGGGCACGGAAACGGCAGGAGCGGCGAGCCCCAAGTCGCCACGCCCGACGGGTTGGAAGGGGACCCACCCGCCCACCCACCCGCACCCCCGCTGCCATGCGCCGCCAGGTCCTGGCGGCCTGATTCCGGTAAGGAGGTTGTTAAATGCAGCCGTACCCAACCAACGATCCGTGCGGACTCCCCGGGATCCGGTCCCCGCTGTGTGTGGTGGTGGTGGGGGGGGGGGGGTAACCGGAGAGAGGACCTGGTCCCAAGCCCACAGTCTGCGTCGGGCTTGGGACCAGGTCCGGGCGTAAGGATGGCTCAGCTTGGTCCTCTAGCTGCCTGCGTCCGGATGGCCCTTTTTGAGAGCGAGGGACCTCCCCGATAGCGGGGACCCCCCTCCGCGGCGCGGCGCAGCGTGGGCCTGGTGCACGAACAGTGCCCGCCAGCCTCTAATGGGACTCCCCCCGGGTTTACGGACGCCCCCCGCGCATTTTGTGCGGAAGGAACCTGTAGCTTGTAACTTTATCAGGGTAGCAGCTGAAACGGGTCAGATTTTCGTGCCGGCTTCGTTTGGCGTTTGTACCCAAATTCGATTCGGGCGACCCGGGGCCAGCCAAGACTCACGCTTGTGCCAGATGTGCTGCATCCAGACGCCGTGCTCCGGCGCGCATTCGATGATGACGAGGAAAATGTTGAGCGCGGCGATGTACAGCATGCCGAAGAACAAGCTGGCCACCACGCGCACGAACTTGATGGGCCATAAGTAGGGGAAGGAGTCGTTTTTAAAGCACCAGGCCACCCAGACGCAGATGGCAACGGAAACATACAACATGGCGGACAGCAGGTAGAAAACGATCACATAGAACTTGTAACCAGCTGTCGACAGGGGTTTGTGTATTTCAATCATGTAGAAAAACTTGAATATCCTGCGTAGCAGGTGCGCATGCGTGGCCTGTGAGCGGCGGCATAGGAGAAACTGCTGGCGCGGAAGCGAAGGCGGAGCGTACCCGTTGTGGGGGTCAACGGCCCACGGGTATTCCAGGTTGAACATAATCGCCATAATCAGTAAGAAGTCCACAATCACCGTCAAGACAGCAACCTTCCAGCTATCACTGTATTTTTCTTTGGCGAGCGTGAAGAGCACCTGAGTAGATAGACATGGCAGGACATGTGGACAGTAACTCAAAGCCCGTTTCGATGGCTTGAAATACATTAAGAACAAGGAAACCCCTTTCTATACTTGTAAGCAACTCTGGGGATTTGGGCAGACGCGCCAAGCCAGTTGGTCTCACCCCGAATAGCGCCGTTGTGAAGCCATTATTGGCATTCTGGTTTTCAACTGATTCGCCATGCTTTTGGGCATCTCTTACAAGCCTGTGAACAGCACAAGACCAGCCTTATCTATCTAGGAAGGCTACCAATGGACTTCCGGCGACGGCCTGCATACTTTGTGGCGCTGGATTTCCCGCTTCCTTGGCTACCAAAGCTGCTTTGGCGATCCATTTCTCTTCCTTTGCTCCTCTTCAGCTGTCGGTGTCAAATTGGCCTCTCCAAGGCTGTGGTCTCTGTTTGTATAAACCTATATAAAGCCCTCATTTGGAGGGCACATAGGCCCTTCAGCAGAGGGCCTAAATTACACGGTTAAGTTATAAAACTATGCATTTGGCGGAGCAGGTATTCTGACATAGTCAGACTGCAAACGATGCAGTAGGCTACAATGAGTAGGGGTTCATTATTGCAAGCTCTGAAGACAAATCTAAATTGTTGCAGGTAAGCTGCGTGTTTCGGTCCCAGGGAATGTACGGAAGGTTCTTTTTGGTCCGTCCGCCACCTATGAAATACAACAGCAATTCCAGGTGTAAGCATCGACATCGTAATCCATTGGGATTTATGTAACGAACCATATGCGCTGAGTGCGGATAGGTCGTGTCATGTTATGCTATGTTACTAGCTCCTAAGGCCAAGACGACCCAGTAGGCTCAGTCCGAGCGTAACATAAAAGAAGAAAGGAACATATAAGTAAAGCGAATAAATATGGGTTTTTATAAACCCCATCTGCGAGAGAAAACAGTAACTAGAGTGCGCGACCTCAGGAAGCCTTCCAGCGCAGCCGGGTATCTCAGTTGACTAGTGTGACAATCATGACAGTCGTGACTTTGGTGATGCGCAATAGTGTGCAACCGAAACTCAACAGCGCAACTTGCTAACCTCTTGCACCCTATGCTATGCCAGCACAGCGAGGACAGCGTCGTCTCGGTCTTCGCCTCAGAGCACGGCACTCCTTGCCCACAAGCAGTGCGCCATGAGCGGAACGCTTACTGAATTCGCCAGCCGTTCCGTGCCCTGCACTACCTGCAGAAAGAAGTGAAGACATGTGGAGGCAAAACGCTGAAAAGATGATGCCGCCAGCACACCCAGCAAGAACCCCGGAAGCCCCCCATAACCAGATTGTGGATAATGATAATGAAAACCAGAAAGCCACAAGTGCTGGCGAGTAGGCAGCTGCTGAAAGAGTATGAGGTGCGTTACGGCGAGAGCAAATTGGCTCCAAAGGATCATTGAACAAAACATTTGAGTGGCCGGACCACAAGATTGCGTTGACTGTCTTTGCCGCCCTTCCACCATCCGCTCGGCCCTCCTTTCACGCAGGTCAAAAAATGTGGGGCAGGGGGTTACGTGCGGTACTGAGGAAGGAACGTGAGGATAGCCGGGGGCTGAGCCGTACGACATACGCCTTGTAACTGCCACGAGGGTGAACCGAGTGTCCAGGACTTAGCTTTCCAGTCTCCCTCTTTGCGTCGCCTTTCATCAAATTACTATGAATTTTGAAAGGTTGCCAAGGCTTGGCGTTTCCACTTCAGTGTAGAAGCCTTGCAGCATTTGCGGGATCAAAGCGGAGTGTGTGACCGTCAGCGGACTGCCCCGGTCGATGCAGCGACCCGTTGGGACGGTATGTGCATAGGTACTTTTGAGCTCATTATACATTTCGGTTATACAAAATATTGGTTATAGAGTTAGAACCCAGCGGCGCTAAATTCGCGTTTCCTGCATGGCAGCTTATGAGTATCGCGTCATGCCCTCCTAAGCACAAGTATTCAGGGACTCTCCTCCATTGCCTGTTAGTCCTCTACTCCTGGACTTTGCGTTGTTATATTTAAAATTACAACTGAGAACAACGATTATCAGAAAGCAACTTGTGAAGCCCGCGAGATCTACACTTTTCACTAAGTTTGGAGTTCAGGGCGGCCGGAAACTTGTTGATCTGCCTTGAATACTAAAACTATCGCTGGCACGATGCCGGCTGGGCCGGAGAAAGTTGTTCTTCACCCCCTAGTATTGCTTTCGGTTGTGGATCACTATAGCCGGGTGGCAAAGGATACCAAGAAGCGTGTCGTAGGCGTCCTCCTTGGAGAGCTTTACAAGGGGACAGTCGATGTTACAAATAGCTTTGCGCTGCCTTTCGAGGAGGATGACCATGACCCCAGCATTTGGTTCCTGGACCACTCCTACCTAGAACAAATGTACAAAATGTTCAAGAAGGTTAACGGTACGTGCAGCGGCCTTAATGCCCATATAGACATGGTTTACACCAGCTGTGCCTGAGGTGGCCGCTCGACGTGCCGCAGCCCGCGAAAAGATTGTGGGCTGGTACAGCACCGGGCCTAAGCTGCGGGAGGCGGACCTGGATATTAACGAGCTCATACGACAATTCTGCGACCACCCCGTGCTGGTCATTTGCGAGGTCCAGGTGAGGGGCAGGCCACGCCACGGTGCGGCGGTGGGTTCAAGGGTTGCACCAGCGATTGCGACGCATGGATACTTTCCTCACTCCGCATGCTTGCGGCTCTCCTGCAGAAACCCTTACCTGGTTCATAACCCCAGCTACAGCATGCTGGGGCCGCCCTGCGTCCCGTGCTGCATTCCTTTCCAACCACCCGCTTCCCGGACATCAGCCATCGGTGCTCGCGTTTTGCCATACAATTTCCCCTCCCCCACACCGTTGCAGCGAAAGAAGCTGCACGCGCCCCAAGGCTTCCATGCGCACACATTTTGAACATGCTGAAAATATACCCTCCTTGCACCTCACCGCTCACCCTAACGTCTAGGTCTGCTTGTCTTTTCCCTTACCCCCATACAGCCCAAGGAGGTTGGCCTGCCCTTCACTGCCTATCACTCCGTCGATGAGGTCCGGACTGACGGAACCGAGAAGGCCAAGAAGGTGATCTAGATTTGGATTTTGGGGGTTGAGGGGTTGAGGGAGAAGCTATGGCTGGGCTGGATGGGCTCCAGGGGGTCCCTAGCGGCTGATCAGGCGACTTCACGGGGCCATGGGGGACAAAAACCTGCGATACAGATCTGCTGGGAACCCCGCCGGTAATGAAGCTTAGTGGTGGGCGCGGGCAAGGCAACCCGGCAACGGGCGCAGACACTGGTAGCTGCTGCTGGCAGTGGGCTGGGCCTGAGCCGGAGGGGTATCTGCTGGCCATATTACGCATGTGTCTGAAGGTGGTGGTGCAGTGGGGGGGTGCAGTGGGCAAGGACAATTTCTGTGGTTAGGCCTTTGGACTCGGGTTGCGCCGCCGAGTGATGGCCGTGATGGCCGTTAGCTGGTTGAGCTATTCTTGCGGTCTTTAGCGCAGGGGGGGAGTTGCATTGGGAAGAGGATCTTTTGGCAACGGCCTGGGCAGGCGCCAGATTACGCGACCCACAAGGCGACCCACAAGCAAGCCGTTGTATCTCGAAATGTTGGTTAGTTAAAATCGGCTTACGGCGGAACTGCCGGAAAAGATTTAAGAAATGGAAAGGTTGATTTTCGCAAACACCCCGGCGGGTGGGATGTGGAATTGTTGGGGATGTACGCACTGCGGAAGGGCTGGAGGGTTTGTCTCGTTGTATTGCGTTGGGCTGCTGGCGTCCTCTTTACATGTTCGACACCGCAATTGTGTTTTCCGTGTTTTCCTGCCCACGGCCGTGGGGGCCCCCAAAAACACTTGAATGTTGCCTGTTGCCTTTCCCCCCCCCAGTTCAGTTCTACGTCAGTCAGTCAGTTCTACGTCTGGTACACTCTTGCCCTGGCAGCAGCTTCACTCGTTTGTGGTTCGTCTTTCCCCCTCCACCCCACACCCTATTGCCCTTGCAAGCTCGCCTTGTGGGGGAGGGTACTTTGTGTTCCCGGCGTCGTATTACCTGTGCACGGTTGCAGCTGCATGCTGTTCCATTCACACACGCACATCCTTTCGACCCCTTAGCAGTTTGCACCCTCCGTGCTTACATACGTGGTTGCCCTGTGCCGCTGCGACGGCCTGTGCCTTTGCCGCACAGGTGTTCAACAGCTTGCCCACACAAGTGGGTCAGACGGAGGCGGAGGAGATTGGTGCGTTGGGGTCTTGGTTTCGGGGCTGTGAGGGTACCTTGTTTCGCGATGCAGAGTTGGCCGCCGGATGCAGTCCAGGACTCCGTCCTGCTGGGCCGGAGCGAAGCACCCCCAGCACGTTCCGCATGCAACCACACGGCATGGTGAAGTGGTGCTTTAGAAGTGGTGCTTGGGAAGAGGCCGCGTCAGCATGGCAGCATGGCACTTGAGGAGGCGGCACATAGAGAAAGAGGCCGCCAGCAGCCGTATTCCTGCACCTCCCGAGGGTTCCCGATCGTATCTCTCGGGTATTTCCCCGCGACACGGCGTATCTCTTTCTGGTGTGCACGGAGCAAGAGAAGGCATACTGCACAGCTGCGTCTCCTTTCTCTTTGCTGCTTCTTCGTTGAAAATTGCGTCTTTAGAGGCAAAGAGATGGGGGTTACAATGTGGTGGCTGAAAAAATTTCCCCCTTCCCGGTGCTCTATGTGTGGGTGGGTGTGGGTGTGGATGTACGCGTATGGGTGTGTAGGTAGACCAGCGCATATTCAGGGAAATGTAGCTGGAGGGTTGGATTTGCCCGCCCTGCCCCTCCACCTACTTGCCTGCGCCCATGCCGCTGACTGCCTGGTCGGGTGCAGGTGTGGAGCACCTGTTGCGGGACGTCAAGGACGCCACGTTGTCTAGCTTGGCGGGAGATGTGTCGTCCAAGCTGCTGGCGCTCAAGGGCCTCCAGGTGAAGGGAGGGGAGCTTAGGTGGCTGGTGTGGCCACGTGGGGGGTGGGGGGTGAGAGTAGGGGCCATGCGGCTCACGCCTTGGCTTGAGTTGCGGAGGCACCGCGGAGGGAGTGAGAGCTGGGAGATAGAGATCAGGCTGGAACGGATGGCACTGAAGGGTGCGTGATTGAACTAGTTGCAGGGAGCCAGTTGTGCCGGGCTGGCTTCCTGATGCCCAATATTTTAGCCAAGCGTGGCGACGAAATGAGCTAATCCCTTTTACAAAACTAAACTGTGCAGTCGCGTCTGGCGGAGATCTCCGAGTACTTGGGCCTGGTGATCGACGGCAAGCTGCCCGTCAACCACGACATCATCAACCTGGTGCAGGTGGGTTGCCACCGGTCTTGCGGAGTGTTGGGGGCTGCGGCGTTTCTGGGTCGGAATGCGGAATGTGAAGTGCTTCATATCTACCTGGGGGGGGGGGAAGGGGTGCCCACTGGGGCTCTCGCATCTGTGAGGGCGGGATGGGTGGCTGTTGCAGGTAGTGGCTGTTGTGGCCAATATCGGACAGATGACTAGGCTTGGATCCCCGGAGGGCTTGAGTAGCTTTGCGGTAGGTTGTTGGAGAGGGAGGCGGCGCCGTTCTTTCCCACGGCCTAGGAGCAGCTATATGTGTGCACGCATGGTATATCAAAGGTATACAGTCATGAATGACACTGGCGAGCACAATGATGGAGGAGGAGGGCGCTCTGGCTTCCAGCCCTGTCTTGTTCTTTCCTCTGGTAGCCTCTTTGCCGGCTTTGACTGACTGACTGTTGTGATTTGGTGGTTCCGTGGCGCAGGAGATCTTCAATCTGCTGCCCAACATGAACGTGGAGTCCCTTTCCAAGTCGCTGGCGGGTGGGTGTGGGTGCTCGACCTATATCGAGAGAGAGAGAGAGAGAGAGAGAGAGCGGCTTCCCTTCAAGGGTTCGGGGGGGGGACTATCGCGCCCGATTTCATTCGGCTAGGGACACTTGCACAACCAATACTTGGTTATTTTACTCGCCGCTGTCGTGCACTCATGGCCTCCTCTTCCTGCGTTCTCGTTGCTGCGGCAGTGCTCTTGGGGGACAGGCAGGAAAGCTGGGTGACCTGTGACCACCGCCGGTGTGGTGGTGATCACCACACCACGCCACACCTCTTGCGGACTGAACAGACCTGACATGCCTGTTTGTGTGTGCGTATGTATGTCTCGCGTATTTCAACACCCGTCCCTGAATGCGGTACTTGTCTTTAGAGTACGGGGGACATTGACTTGTGCGCCGACCCACATCAGTTTATAGTGGAATGAGGTCGTGTGTGGGAGAGCAATGATTATACGATCATAACGTTCTCATCATGTCATCTTAGGTAGACATGGGGGGGTCGTGGCAAGGTGCGTATTTGTGGTTTTGCGTTGCCCATGCCCCCGTGATGATTTGGTTATATTTCTGTGGTGATTGTTTGAATTGTGCACCGTTGCGTGGCGGTCCATGAATGTCATTCCCATGCTCCCATGCCCCCCCACAGTCAAATCCAACGACATGATGCACGTTATCTACATCGCCTCTCTGGTTCGCTCCATTCTGGCGCTTCACAAGCTCATCGACAATAAGGAGCAGCGCCTGTGGCAGGAGCGCGAGGCAGCCAAGAAAGAGAAGGAGAAGGCGGAGGAGAAGGCCAAGAAGGAAAAGGACAGCAAGGAGGCGAAAGACGGTGGCAGTGGAAAGGAGGGCGAGGCGGCCAAGGACGGCAGCAGCAAAGGGGCGGAGGCCATCGGAAAGAAATGAGCTGGGCGGCCGGAAGGGCCTGCTCGGGCCCTCATGCGCGCGGTGCGGCCTGTCGTCATTCATTTGTCATTGCGGCCTATTGTTGTGGAGCTTGTTACGTTCGGTTAGGTTCGGACCCGCTGTAGGGTAGCTGTGTAAGGCAGCAGGGTAAGGCAGTAGGTAGGTAGGGGACCGTGGGATCGCTGTTTTTTCGGGTCCGGGGTTCCTTCTGGAGTCCCCGGGATTCTACCCCGAATTTCGCGGTGGGCCCTCTGTGGAGTCTCGAGTGGCGATGGAGGTCTCAAGTGGTCTTTACTGGCGGTTGCCTCCTGCAGTACGAATGCGTGCGGAGAGAGCGGGTACGTATGTACGTTAGTCCGTACGGTGTAACGAGGAGGAGGGGTCCCGTGCAGGTGGCGGGCGAGGCTGCGGCGAGTGCAAGGCAACATGGTAGGCGGGCGGTGAAGATGTGCAGGATGATGACTGCGGTAAAATAAAGTGCATCGCATGTGCCTTCTCTTCAGCGACTGCGATCCTCCCAATCCGGCTTCTACATGGAAGGGACTCGGATTTTGTCACAGCCTTGGGAGCTGGTTGGGATATTGTTAGCAATCGGTGCTTTTCAAGCAGTCAGTCAACCCTGGTCCTATGACCCAAACCAAAATAGGCCTAAGACGGTTCACGAAGGTACGGCAGTTTTCCTGTCCTTGGCAAATGTGGGAACCAAGACGCACTGGGGCTCAGCATATGTAGGAAAGGTGCCAGCCAAGGACCTAAATCAAATCACCAATCGTGTCCTTTTGGTAAGCCGCCGTGGGCACCGCTCAAAACTGCGGGCAAGCAGCAGCAGCAGCCGTCTGCTGGGAGAGTTGATCCACGCACTGCCTCGGCTACGACTCGCCATTGAAACTCTCACCCCAAACACATTGTCAACCTTTATCATCGTTAACCTATAAGGCATTACTTGTCGAACAGCGCACGCGTTTCTATCTATCACCTAAAACAGAAAGAGCAAATTATTTTTATTATAATCAATCATCTGAAGGACTTCTGCCGCCTCCTTTCCTCGCGAAAGGCCCTCTTTAGGGTTCTCCCCGCCTGCTCCCTGGCCTGCCACGTCAAAAAATGGTTGGCCACCTAACCCCACTGTTCCAACCCACTCAAACTCAACCGCCAGCAACAACGGCGCTAGCTGTGACTTCCGGACATCATCTCGATCTCGCAAAGCGCGCAGAGCGCTCTCCAGTGCATCAGCACTGCCGCCGTTAACCGCCAGCACGTGTTGTCGTACAGGTCCTAACGTCCACAAAGCCAGAAGGGCCTCACACGCGGAGGCGAACACCTCGGGGTGGTTGATGAAGCCACCCAGCCAACCATCAGATGTCGGACCGTTGACGCCGCTAACGTCCTCGCCATTACCGTTGCTGGCGCCGCTCCCTGCTTCCTCATCAGCGGCAGCACTCGCGGCGGCGCGACCCGCCGGAACCATCGCCGCTGCGACGGCGCCAAGTTGCCGTACAGCCATTGCTGCCCACCTGGCAAGACGTGCCGCCCCGAGCGGAGTCAAACTGGCAGCAGACGCCAGTGGCGTCATCGGCGCTGACGCTATTGCATCGCTGCCGTCGCCTGTCAACGGTAGCGGCGGCGGCGGCGGCGCCGCCATCAGCATCCTCAGCGTGCGTGCCGCCAGATGTGCGGTCAGCAGGGGCTCCTCATGGGGATTGTCGGCTTCCTTGTCGAAGAGACGGCGCGCTTGGCAACTCCCCCAGCTCACCGGCGCAGCAGCCGCCGCCGCCGAAGAGGAGCCGGTCTGACGGTAAACGGAAAAACCGCCACGAATGTCACACACATGGAGGACACACGAAGAACATGAATACCGTTTCAATCACGTTTCAAGAACGCAGAACTTCATGCGGCGGCGGCGGCGAAGAAGAAGAAGAAGAAAAAGAACAAGAAGAACAAGAAAACGTGCATGAGGTTTGTGTGGGGGAAAAAGTTGAGTATCGGCGCAAGTTAAATCCGTGGCAGATCTGAAGTGGGATGTGGAGGTGCGGGGGCGAGCGCGTGTTTGGTGCATGTAGGCAGGCAGCGGCAGGCAGCACCATCGGCGCCACATTCTCACTGCCACTTATCCATAGCCGCCCATATCGTCACCCCCGGCGGCGACAGATATACGTGCCTAGCGCAAGGAACTGAAGACAAGGTCTTTCGTGCTCTATATACGTCGTAATTCATTATATGTGTGCAAGACGTATGCCGTTGTAAACCACAAGGCCAAAGGCTACAAAATAAGGTAGCCTTCCAAGATAGTGGTGAATCGTTGTACAATAAGGACGTACCATGGCGGCTACCACTTCGGGTACGGCAGCTCCGGAGCCGTCCGCGTCTTCGCCGGCCCCGCCGCCGCAGCCACTACCAGCTGACGTCACCAAACCACATAGCATATCAACGAGTGCACTGCGCGTCGACACGCCGCCGACGCTGTCGCAGCTGCCGTACTGTACGGCCAACCACGGGTAGACTCTCCGTATGACTGCTTCAACATACAAAGGTTGCCTGCCGTACACTGTCGCCGCCGTTCCCCCGGCAGCTATCTTGTCGTCGCCACTGCCGCTACTGCCAAGCCCCGACGATGATGGATCATGTCCCGCCGACAGCTGAGATGATGTGTCGTACTTAGTAACGTCGAGTGGCCCTGCGAGCTCCATTACCTCCTGTGCCAGTCTAGCTGCGGTGTACCGCACCGCGTGATCTTCGTCCTGCGATGTACGGCAGGTTCGGTCGTACGTCATGTACGGCTCTAATCAACGGCAAACATTGCTGTAAAATCCCTCTCCTTATCAAAAGTCAAAGCTCTCATTTCTAACTTACAAGGAAAAGATGTTACCAACAACATCTTAAACGCCATCCTAAAATTTGTGGCAGGTAAGTCCTGGTGATATACTTTCACCCTGTGTATAATATATATACCCTAATAAACATAATAGCTCACGTGGCCACCGTCGGCAAGGAAGCAAAGGAAACCAAGTTCAAAACAAACCAGAAAAAGATACAACAAACCAGGAAACACCGAGAAGCCAAATCGCCAGCGACCGATCGACCGGTGATGCCGGACAGTGCTGCACGCCGACAATTGTAACCTGAACGTCCCGAGGCCCCCTTTTCCCATCAGGACAGTCCCCTTCCCAGACCTGGACCCAGAGACTCACCTCGAGAAACGCGACGATGCAGCGCCACCCGCGGACGGCCAGGAGCTCCAAAGACCCCACCGCCCCACCCGCCTCCGCCTTCCGGCCCTGCGCTTGCGCCTGGACTGGCGCCTGCTCGTGTTGTGGCTGCGGAGGCAGCTGCCCCGCGGACAACTGACCTTGCCGCAGCACCTTGCTCGGGAGATGCGGGGACCCACCACGACCCACGGGTCGTCGCCGCACCGCGGTGGAGTGCAAAAGCCGCGACGCCGCCAGAGCCTCCGCACTCGCCAGCCGCCAATCCTCCGGTTGCCAGGGCTGCGATCCCGTAGCCACCTGCTCCAGGAGGGCTTCCAACGCCGCATGAAGCGCTGGCGGCGGCTCCGCCGCCGCCGCCGCCGCCAGCATCGCACTGCCCAGCGCACGGCCCAGGCACCGCAGCGCCTCGCAGCGCGCCTCCAGCTCCTTACAGCCCTCCGTCAGCAACCGCTGCACGAGGGTCACGTGGGTCAGGGCGGCGCGCAGGCCGCCGCCGGCCGCCATGGTGGATGAAGAGGCTATGACCCGTGGGTCAGTGCTGCAGCAAAGGCAGCCCAGAGGGTGTTGCAGCGACCAGCCCAACGAGCCCCTCGCCGCAGCAGCCTCCGCCGCCGCTGCCGCCGTCACCGCAGCGCCGGCGGGTGTGATGGTGGGTCCATCTTCAGTGCGGAGATCTGAGGTGCCGGTGCTAGTGGTAGAGGCGTCGGTGGCGGCTGTGAGGGCAATGGAGAGCGAGTGAAGCAAGCCGAGGGCTTTGAGAGCCCGTCGTACGACTTTATGTACGGGCTCCGAAGCCACAGCCTCCCATAGCAACGCCATGCCTTCCGAAATTAACCGTCGCGTCAGCACAGGACGAGCGAGCAGATCCGCCACGATGCGCGGCAGCTTACCGCCGGCGTCGGCGTCGGCGGCGGCGGCGGCAATGCCCCTGCTGGTAGCCTCCGCCGCAGCGGCGGCGGCTGCTGCCTCCGCCGAAGTTCCACCCGTACTACGGCTTGACGACGACGGCGATGACAACGAAGACGACGACGACGACGCCAACGCGACGGCGCCGCTGTTGATTGCCGCCAGGACGCGCACCAGACTCTTGAGTGCCGCTGCACGGGTGTCGTACGAGTACGACGCGAGGCAGCAGCGAAGCTGATGCAGCAAGCCCTCCAAGAAAAAGCCAGCGGGCGAGCTTGACCTGCAGAAATAGTGTTGGGAGGGCGAATTGATAAGAACATTCACTGCTGCTGCTGCTGCGGCGGCGGCGGCGGTCAGCGCCGGTGCAGAGACCGAAGTCACCGTATGTCCTGGAAAACCGGGTGATCGAAGATGCGATCTACATCCTGGCGGGGTCGGTAGATGTGGACTTTCTGGTCTTGTCTCGTCCAAAAGACCGTGGACCACGCCTTCATCAATCTCTCAGTACCCCCAGATCACCCATCAGCACTTCTCCCAGCGATGCTCCCCACGGCACGACTTGTCATCCACACCACATCGCTCGCCACACTTCCCCTCCCCCTTAACCACACACACATACACACACACTTCCCGGCTCTTCCCCCTTAAATTTCCTGCATACAATCCCTGCACCCGCACCCGCACCAAACACCCACCCCTAGGTCGCCATATAGACTGCCCCCTAACTGACACACCTGAACGCCTGGCACAGCAACACCGGCCCCAACCACAACTGCGCCGTCTGCTTCAAAAGCTGACTACGCATCGGATCAGGATAATCAGTCACAAACACGTTGACGCCGCCGGCGGCAGCGGCAGCGGCGGCGGCGGCAGCGGCGCCACCCATCTGCCGCTGCCTCCGCACCGCCGGCGGCTCAAAGCCCACCGCCGCGCGGCAAGCCGCCGCCAGCGCCGCCACCTCGGCCCGGAACTCGTTGCAGCGCTCCGGCGGCAGCAGACTCAGAGCTGCTGACGCGGCCTGCAGCAGCCCACAGCCCAGCGCGCTGCAACCGACCCGCGGGTCGGCCAGCCATGCGCCGCGCGCCAGGTGCGGCAGCGCTACCGTCAATACATCAACTCCTTCGACACCGCTTCCGCCGTGGCCGCCGTCAGCGTTGATTGTCACGCTAGGGTTGGCGCCGCCGCCGCCGGGTCGGGCCGCCGCCGCCGTTTCCAGCAGCGCCGCCGACTGTAGCAGCGCCCCATGGAGAGCGTTGGCGTTCGTACTGCCGACGACTGTGCGGACGGACCCGACGGCGGCAGCGGCGGCGGCGGCTCCGCCTCCGCTAGACGGCTCCGCCGGGATGCTCTCCAGGAGCTGCTGCAGCAGCGCTGGCACATCCTGTGCCGCCACCAGCGGTCCCAACGCCCGGGCCGCCAAGCGCCGTACAGCGTACGGCGCCGCCGTCGCGCACCGCCGTACCAGCGGGGTGAAGGCAACGGGTGTGAGCGCGCCCATGTATGTCGTGACGGCAGAGGCGGCGCCGACCGGGGCCGCCGCCGCCGCCGCCGCCGGGGCGCCTCCTCCAGATTGATCCTCCTCTTGCCGCTCCCCTTCCTCCTCCTGTTGCTGTTGCTTCAGAGGTGTTGAGTAGGACCCACCATCATTACGGATGTGAGAGGGCTTCAGACGTGACAAGATGATGAGCACGGGATACAAGCCGGGATGGGGGTTGGCGGGTGCGAAGGAGGCGGAGGCGCCGCCAGCGGCCACCGCCGCCGCCGCCGCCGCTTCTTCCAGCTCCGTGGCGGCCTCTCGCAGCTGCGCCAGTAAGAAGCCGTGTAGCGCTGGGTAGCGCTGAAAGAACTCTGTGCCTGTTGGTGGGGGTTGGTGGGGATAGCCAATCAGTTCGGCAGTCAGCACCCACCACCGCACCTACCACCGGAATGCAACCTACGATGTACGACACGTAAGGTGTACGGAATATGTACGGGAAGTCATACCGCCCTATTTTTCCGTACCCTGACCCTACTAAATATTTTACCTGAAACCGCTTTTCTGCACGACTCTCCGTGACTGTCGTTTTTGAAGCCCAACACTCGGGCCGTGAGGGCGGTGAAGCACAGCATGGCGCTGTTGCGGATTTCCCAGGCGGGGGAACGGAGCGCGCGGAGGCAGGCCTGCGACCCACGGGTCGGCCGGTCGGCAGCAGATTAATTAAGTTGTGATGACCCATGGGTCGGTCAGTCGGTGGTTTCGGGGACCGACGGGAAAGCAAACATAAAGACAACCTTTCATGAAGTCCTGTATCTGTGTGCCTGCGTGTGTGTGTGTGTATGTGTATGTGTGTGTATGTGTGTGTGCCTGTGTGTGTGTGCGTGTATCTGTGTCTGTGTGTGTTTTACACCACGTTCTGGAGCCCACGCGTTACCCGCCCCAAAAAGGTGTAACAACGAGGGCGCCAAACATACATACTTGGAGCCATGAGGGGGGGCCCCAAGTGCACCCACACAGAGCCGAAGGCTGCTCGTCCAAAGTATTGTAAATATCTCTAAAAAACACAACAAACCGATTAAAAAACTATCAAACGAAATAAAATAATTATGCCGAACGCATCGAACTCTATCCAGAGACTGCTTTATGCCGTCTAGCCGGTGGCCGTTAGAGACCAGACAGGTTAGACAGATTCAAGGTGCGGCGGATGTGAATGTCGACAACCCTACCTACCTGTATAGCAGGTGCGAAATATCCCGACGTGTCCACGGACAAGTTCCCGTCGTTGAAGGCGTGTCGCAAACAGTTAAAGGCATGGACCACTGGCCACACCTGCCGTACTTCATAACCGTCAACCACCACCACCCGTTCCCCGTCCTCCGTCGTCTCCGCCGCCGCCAAGTACGACAAGTACGGCCCCGCCGTGGAGGCAGCGGCCGCTACCGCCAGCAGCGCGTTCATCCCCCTGGCCAGCAGCGTCTTCGGGGCGTTGCCGGGCTCGGCGTGAAAGAGCGCTCCGAAGGCAAATGGCAGTCCGGCGGATCGACGGACAATGTCGTCCCGAGTTTGGTTGGGTGCCAGCACGCGGCGGATACAAGCCTGTGGGTGCCAGCGTCGGTTAATTTAGTTTGCATTCGGCGGTTATGGTGGTTGATTTTGTGGTAGATTTTGATTTTGATTGATTTCGTGATTGATTTTGTGCTTGTGCTTGTGCTTGATTTTGTGCCCGATTTTGTGGTTGTGGTAGTTGTGGTGGCGACCATTCGGGTTGGAAACAACGCTTCTAAACTCGCAAGGCCCCCCCCATTACCGCAATTTGCCACGCCTACACACCATACACACCATACCACACACACAGACAAACAAACAAGCACGGAGAACCCACATCCTACCTCCAGCCACGGCCTGGGCAGTCCATTCAGCTCCGAAGCCGAGCCCCGCAGGAGCCGCTCCGAAACCGCCGTCAGCGCCAGCGCCGTCTTGTCTACCGCGCCATTGTGTTTCATTTCGAATAGCAGTCGCAGCAGCAGCTCACCCACCTGTCGAAGCTGATCACAACTCAATATACTGCTACTGCTTCTACTGCTGCTGTTGGAGGCAGTGGTGTTGTTGGCGATGATGCTACTGGTGCTGGTGCTGGCGGCAGCAGCAGCAGAGGTTGTGCTGGTGGCAGCCGTCGTAGTGTTTGCGGATGCGGATGTGGGTAGGGGCATGTGTCGCACCATGGTGGCCAGCACTAGGGAGACCTGCGTGGGGGTGAAGTGTGTGTGTATGTATGTATTTATGATGTGTGAAACAGGGGGGGGTGTCTTCGCCCGTGGCAGCTACCCTGCGAAACCCTGCCTTCCCCGGTATTTCGGGGCACCCTCATCCAGTCACCCTAGTCAACTTCTCAGTGGATCGCTCAGGTTCCGCACCCACCACCAGCATCCAACGGAATCTGCCGGGTCGACAGCGGCCCAACTCCATTCCTGGTCGGCTCGCAGGTTAACTTTATCCCAGGTCACCACCGTCCATCAACTAGGGGCGCAATGCCTTCCACCATCGGAAGGACTTTTGACCCTAACGGGTATCGATCCCGGGATCTCCCGGGGGCAATGATCGCGCGTGTGGATGTATGTGTGGATGTATGTATGTATGTATATACATCGGTATGTTTGTGTGGGGATGGGGTGAGATGAACCACTCACGATTGAATCAGATACCCAGTTGGTAGTTCGGGTGGTTAAGGTAGTTAAGGTAGTTAGGGTAGGTAAGGTAGGTAAGGGGGTTCCGGAGGTGGGACATGGAGTTGGAGGCCGAATGTTGGGATGTTGGACGCCTGGCCCAACCCCCATGATGTTGACCCCAAACATAAAACACATACATACATACGGACAGACAGACAGATGCACACCTCCTTGACGGTTGTCCAGCAAGCCGTTATGATGACCTGGGACTCGGGACCAAGGTCACCATCGTCACCTGATCATATATTTATTTTTAGGGAAGGAGGATTGGGGGGGGAGAGAGGAGATGAAAAGGCAGGTAGGAAAAATGGCAGGTAGGCTTAAGATGCTGCCACGAAGTTGGGTTCCTTTTTTCCCGCCATGAAAAGGGAAAAGAGCTTCAAGTTGCGGAAATGAAAAGCGGCTTCTCGGGCCTGTGCGGGCACAGGGTGGAAAGTGGGGAAGAGTGAAAAAATATCTGTCCTAAAGCCAAGTAAGGTAAGGTACGGTAGTAAAAGACAGCACCATATCGGCATGTGCGCGCGCGTGTGTATATGCGTGTGTGTGTACGTGTCTGTGTGCGTGTCTGTGTATAGGCTCCTGGCCTTTACCTCTCCTCGCCCCGATGGAACCGCCGCGGCACAACCCCCCCCCACCCCCCCACCCCCCCACTCCGCCACCCCGCCATTTGCCCACTAGGGTCCACAGCGCCCCCTCCATCACCCTCACCCTCCTCACCCTCCCCAGCATCGCCATCGTCGCCGCTACCCCCCTCGTCCTCCCCCTCCTCCTCCCGCGCCGCCATCATGGTCGTATCCACCTCCTCGGCGCCGACATTGCGCTCCTGCGGGAGGTGTACGGGAGGAGCACCAACGTAACACCCATGCCGCATCCCAAGATTGCACTGCATTCGGCTCTGCACTGCACTCGCACTGCAATGTACGGCGTCGTACGGCACCGTCCATCGCCACACTTTATTCCCACCCGCGCCGCACCACAAACCTGCGGTCGTGACAGGACGGGCAGTGCCAGGCCCACCAGCTCCTCCGCCGCCGCCAGCGCCTTTGCTGCCCAGCCCGCCGCCGCCGCCAGCCCCGCCGGGGAAGCACACACCGCCCCCCAGGGCACATCCTCCACAACATAGCGCAACAGCAGCAGCGGCCCGTGGGCAAGGGAGCGGCGACACGCCGCCGCCAGGTCCTCACGCGCCGCCGCCACCTGAGAGTTGACCAGGTCTAGTACGGCATCCAGGAAATCCAGTACGGCAGCGTACGGCTGCGGGTCCGCAATAACGGGTACAGACCCCCGGTCGGGGTGGGGGTTGTAGTGTTGGGGGTGCTGGGCTGTAGCGGCGGGTGGTGGTGGCGGCGGGAGTGCTCGTGGCTTGGGGTGGAGCTGTAGCCGCCATCCGCAGCCGGCGACGTACTTGCCGTACAAGATCTTGATGAGTCGCGCACCTGCCGGGGCCCGGAGAAATGCAGTTAGGGCTCTTTCCGGGGTGACACCGGGATGACCCCGGGATGACCCCGGGATGTGCGTGTCCTGTTTTTATAATGGGTTTGAAAACCAGACGAGCGGACCGGCGGATAAGCGGGGACCATTTTCGCGCTCCTCTCCTCCGTACACCCGCACTTTCCTCCTCCCCCAAGGCTTACCCCTCTTCCCCCTCTTCCCCCCTCCCCTCCACCTCCCCCGCACCAGCATCACTCTCCCTAGCCCGCGGGCTGTTCAGCAGTCCAGCCGCCCAGGCCAGTAGCGGGGTGAGCTGGGCGACAGACGATAGTCCAGGGAGGGGTGTGGGCAGCCGCATGAGGCAGCTGCTGGCGGCCTGAGGGCGGGAGGGGTGAAGGAGGGGGGGGAGTGGGAGGAGTGGGAGGAGTGGGGAAGGAGGGGGGGGAGGGGGAGGAGGGGGAGGAGGGGGGAAGGAGGGGGAGGAAGGGGAGGAGGGGGGGGAGGGGAAGGGGGGGAGGAGGGAAAGGGTTCGGAAGAGAAAGAGGGTTCAAAGGAAAACCCTGAGGAAGGTGGGGGGCCTACTAATGGGGGAAAGGCGAACCACGAACTAATTGGGGGCCGGAAAATGTGAACGTCGGCGGCCGAATGGGAGACCCCCCCGGGGGGCTGGGTCGGTGGGTCGGTGGGTCGGTCGGGGAAAGCAGGGGTGGTACGGGCGCCTGGTTGCATGCGGGCGTGTGGGTTTTGAATGAGCTCTCACCTCAATGATGATGACGCGTCGTATCGCGGTGCCAATACCCAAACGTGCGCTCTCAGCTATCGTCGCACATCATCACACCGGCACATTATATAATAGTGGCAGCAGCCGTCTTACCGTCCTCTGGCACTTCCTCTCGCCCCCTCTCTCTCTCCTTCCCCCTCCCCCCTTCCCCCTTCCCACCTTCCTCTCTCACACATACCCATACACACACACTGATACACACGCACGCACACCTGCCGTAACTTGTCCCAACTGTCAACTGCGGCCGCCAGCAGCAAAGCCACCGTGTTGGAAGAGAGAAGCTCTGGGCAGTACGGCCTGTACGACGTACAACGAACAACGTACGGCGAAGTACAGCGTGTAATAAAGAACGTACGGTAACGCACTGAAGGTGTCACCCCCAAATGCGCAAGATTGGAAAAGCAGCATAGTTGCCACTCGCTTTGCAACCCCGAATAATACATGATTCCCATTATGTACGGCACGGCGTACGGCAGCAAAAAACATGTGCCTAAACTTCTGTCGAATACGTGCCCGTGTTCCCTCCGCTCCTTTGCTACGTTGTAACAATATTGTAACGAAACACCTTCATGCTGCCCAACCCCGCCGTCGCCGCCGTCGTCGTCGTCTGGGAGCACCACCGTGGCCGTTCCCTCTGTGTGTGTGTGTATTTCCCCTGCCCCGCTGCCCCTCTTCTTCCTCCAATCATCCCCCCAATCTTTGACCTCACCCTCAAGAGCCCCTTTTGCGTCCCCTCCAACGTCGCTGTTGAAAGACCATTGTACGACAAATTCGATACATGCGCTGGAGTACGACAATGGTACGACAAGATTGATACACGAAAATACCGGACCCATCAGCTACTTGCAAAAGCTCGGGCCGGTGCAGTACGCAACCCCAAGACCCTCACCTGAAGGGTGGCGGCGCCGCCACCGTTGCCGTACCAGCCCCAGCCCCAGCCCCAGCGCCACGTCCTGATCGGGGCCCGCCGCCGCCGTTGCCACCCGCCCCTGATGATGACGACGACGAGGAGGAGAACGAGCCGAGTACGTAGCCCTTGGGCAGCAACGTCAGCGCCGTACTCTCCGCCATTCGACCGCCACTCGTACCCTGACGGTGCCGCTGCTGCTGCTGCTGCTGCTCGGCAGCAGCGCCCTTGCCGCCGCCGCCGCCGGAAGCCGCGGCGCTGGATCCCGAGCCGTCGGGGCCCCACGCCTCCAGTACGGCACTCAGCAACTCCAGTGAGAAAAAGCGCCGCTCGTACGGCGATCCAGGATACAACCCCGAAATGAGCAGCCGAGTGAGCCACTGCATGAAAGCCTGCAGGCGCTCCAGAACCGCCGTCGGGTCAGTGACCCGCGGGTCAGTCGTCGCCGTCGCCGCCATCGTCCTGGACGAACCATCCGCCGCCGCCTCGGCCGCAGAACCGGCTCCATGTGTGGCTACAGCTGCGGCCCCCGGGCAGAAGAGCACCTGCCACCCGAGCCGGGGGCCCCAAAGCGCGGGGGAGTGCGCGCGCGCGTGTGTGTATGTATATGTGTGCGTGAGGGCGTGTGTGTGAGAGTGTGTGCGTGAGAGCGTGTGTGCGAGGGCGTGTGTGTGTGTACGTGCGTGTGTGTCGCAGGCGCTAAATGTGAGGGTATGCAGAGCGCCGATTAGGTTTGTGGCGTTAGGTGTACGAGCATAGGAAGGATGACGTGGCGCCGTACATATGCAAAGGCAGAGGCAGAGAGAAAGGGAGAGCACAAAGGGTGCAGCCTTCTCCTGCCATCCGTTCATCTGTCTGTCTGTTTTCCGCCCATTTGTCTGTACGTCTGTCCGTACCTGCACTCCCTTGCCCTTGGAGCTGGCGGGGTGAGCGGGGCCGCCTCGACTGCACATCCTGGCACCCGGGTGGGAGGGTGGGGTCATGGTGGTGGGGGTGGGGGTGGGGGGGTTGCGGGAGGGGGGGACCGCGTTGGTACGCTGATCAGGATAATGGTTATGTGATGCTGATGCTGATGCTGATGCTGATGCTGCACAATACGGCACAGCTAGGCAAGGAAACCGTGCGTGGGGGGGAAGGGGAGGGAGGACAAGGACACACACACACACGGCGCACACACGCACGCATACACGTACTTGTTGTGTATGTGCGCCACGGCCAGTCGTATCCTCGCAACGAGCTTGGTGACCAGCACCAGACACTTGTTCCGGGAGCCCTGTGCCGTACTGCGCATACACAGACTCGACCAGCGACCCGCGATGGCGAGCTCCAGACGGCCTGGGCGGCCCCGCGCGGGACACGAGGGGGGGGGAGGGGGGGAAAGACGAACCACAAACGGGGGGAAGAGGGGAGGGGGGGGAAGAGGGAAATGATGCGGGGGGTATACTCAACGAGAGTTTATCTCTTGAAATAATCTGCCGGCGTCCAATGCGGTGCGGGGTAAGACGAACCACTGGCGAATGGAGCAGATATACCCAAGATAGACGGATAGTCCAGGAGAAGATAAATGCGGCACAGGGGGGGGGCCCGCGCGGGGGAAAGAGAGGGGAGGAGGAAGACTATTTGAAAAAAAAACACAAGTGCTCCGGTGCGTCCGGAGCACCAAATAACGAGCGGGAGAAGAGAGAGGTTGAGGGGTGAGGAATGAAAAACGGGAGGAGAGAGGAAAGGAAAGACCGAGGTTGGGGGTTGAGGGGGTTTCGGTACCTTCCAGCAGGAAGACCGGCGGACTCTTGACCCGACCCGACCCGACCCGACCCGACCCGACCCGACCCGACCCAGGTAGAATACCACCAACCACACAACCGTATCCACAACTACCAACCACCAAAATCCCCAACTGGGTCACTGACCCGGCGGGTCGCTCATTTTGAAGCTCACACAGGCCAGCTCCAGGGCATCCAGCCTCACTGCCTCACTGACGTGGTCTACCGCCGCCATCAGCAGCGGCTCGAGGTGTAGCCGGGGTAACGGGGGGGAGGCGGGGGAGGGGGAGGCGGGGGAGGGGGCGCTGCCGGCAGTTCCCAAACCCGACACGCCTAGCAGCGAGTCCAAGTCGGCGATAAGGCCCATGCCACGGGCGGCCTGGACGAGGGGAAATACACAGCAATGGAAAGCACAGCACAGCACAGCAGAGCAAGAAACACAGCGTTCGGTGCATAGGGTAGGGTCCATAGGTCGGCAGGGAAATGTGTATCGCGTGGCAGAGCATAGTACGGCAGATTCGGCAGATTCGGCGGACCTTGGGACTGGCCGAATGGCAGTAGCTGCTGCTAAGGTGTGACAGAGACAATGTAGCTGTTATGCATCAGGGCAGCTAATGGCAGTAGCTGTAGCAGCAGCAGTAGCGATGGCTGTTGCATGGTGTTTCATGTACCAGTAAAGTTGTAAGAGCTGTAGCAATGGCAGTAGCAGTAGCAATGGCAGTAGCTTGTAGTAGCAATGGCAATAGCTTGTAGTAGCAATGGCAGTAGCAATGGCATCAGGGTCGGTAGCAGCTGTAGCACCCGCCCACCTTGAGCACGGCCACCAGCGCCGCCACCCTTGAAGTTCCCGGGACTGGTTCCGGAGCCGGGTCGGAGAGCGTCACGCGGATGAGCTCCAACGCCGACGAGGGCTCCAGGCCCAGTACGACAGGCAGCGCATGTACGGAAACGTACGCGCGAAGCTTTTCATTTGCGCCGTACAGCACACGCAGTAGCGCGCCGCGCCAGAGCTCGACCCATAAGGAAGATGCGGAGATGCCGGCGCCGCCGCCGCCGCCGAGGTGAGGTGTGCCGGAGGAGGTGTCCCCGGAGGGGGTGTTTCTGCCGCTGCTGCTGCCGCCGGCGGCGGCGGCGGCGGCTTCCGCCGCCAGCTGCGGGTTCATGCTGGTTTCCGTACGTGCCGCCGCCAGCAGGGTCTTCAGGAATGACGACGCCGCGCTGGCGGTTGTGTCGCTCTGTAAGGTCACCGTAGCACAACCGAAATAACCGAAATAACGCCCAACGAAAACAGACGCCGACAGGAAACATAGGGATGGATATAAACATGGAAGTCCAACTGCCGTACAATCACATTGACGCGCACCACACCGGTATCGTGGCGTCGGCAGCCCCGGTAAGCTGCAGGCGATGCCAATGCCATTACGTTTTTTTTATTCTTAAGATAATTACATGACCCTTTGTTTCGTGCTAACGTAATACGAACCAGTAATATGTCTCTTGAATCTGTCTTCCCCACAAATTTCCGTTAAGGATCACATGCACTAACTACAAAAGCCGTACAAATCGTTGCAGCGGCAGATCCATTTGCTACAGCTGTTGCGACCCACCCCCACCCACCCCATGAACATACCCAACGCAACCCAACCCAACCCAACCACTCAACCACCCCGAACTGTCCGTCCGTCTAAAACTGCCGTACGGCATCGCAACCATACGGCATCTACTCGAAACCGGATCTGCCATGAAATGCAAACAGTCCTAAATCCTCACACCCATAACCTGTTCTACTGTATAACGCACACAATGCGCTTCTAGCACAAAAAACGGTGATGCCGTACGGTGTAGATGATCCCATCACAACACCTATTTAAAGTTTTTTCCGTACCTCCATTGCCATCAGCGCCTCCGGAATCAAGGACGGGTGGTCTCGGAGCATCCCCAGCGCGCAGCCGCGCTCCGCCATGCACCCCAGCGGCGCGTAACGACCCTTGCGGTTGTACGGCACCGCGAGCAACTGTCCAACGACCTGAGGATTGCAGGTAGGGGATGTGACCAGGCGTACGGCACATGTTTGTACGGCATGTGTACGACATGACACCTGACACATATGACACACGAGGCGGCAGAGGTTACAGATGTGCGATGTCATGCGTGACGCAGCACTATCCCTTGTGTATGTGACGCACACAGAGCAAACAGCGGGCCGTCAGAACTCGGGCGCTCACACACACACACACACAGAACAACCCTACAGATCAACCTGGATCACAGTAAAAGGCAGAGGGGGAGAGATGATTATGAAATGTATGTATGTATGTATGTGTGCGGTGTGTGGGGGCCTCACAGAGTGTTTCGAGTGTGTGGGCCTTATGTACGCCCCCCGTGCGTGTGGGACTTAGGGGGGGGGTAATTTGTAAACTGCATGCACACGGTCTACACGCCCGTGTATGAGGCGCCCTTTCCCCCCCCCACCGACACAGCGGCGGCGACAGCGACGGCGGACCAGACCGGAGTGGCGACTTACTTGGCGCCGAAATAGATCCAGGGGTGGCAGCACTCCGGGCCGGTAGTGGTCCTGACACGACAGAACTTCGAGCAGCAGCTGGAAGGCATCTTGGAGCTGTACGAGCAAGGGGTGGGAAGGGGGAGGGGGAAAAAGGGGGGAAGGGGGAAGGGGGGAAAGACGATCCACAAACGAGTGAAGCTGCTGCCAAGGAAAGAGTGTAAGGAAGAAGGAGGAAGGGGGGAACTGGGGAAGGGGGGAAGGAAGGCGTAGTTTTAGAATGCGAAATTCACCATCCACCAAGAGTCAACCACCAACGGCAGACGAGGGGGAGAAGGGAGCCAAAGCGGGGAAGGAAGGTGGTGGTGGTGGTGGTGGTAGGTAGGTAGCACTCTTCTTATGTCGCATCAAAAGTCGCATCAAGTCAATACGGAGGGACCTCTTTTTACCCCCGCGACAGGGCGGGAGGGGGGTGCAGTTGGTGGCGGTGGGGGGTATGAGACACGCGGGGGAGGGGACGGGCTGTAAGGACTTCAAGAAAAGCACACACACACACAAACCCACGCGCACACACAAGCTCTCTTCCTTTCAAGGGAAAAATGTAACGAAAATGCCGTACGGTGCACGACAGTTCAAGGCATACGGCATACGGCACGTACCGTACCTGCCGAGCGGTCTGTGCCAGCGGCTCGTCTAGGTTGGCCCACATAAGGCCCATGAGTTGGTTTAGCGATTCGGTGTGTAGCAGCGCCGGCTGTAGCGGCGCCGTACCCGCCGCCGCCTTCAACGGCACGCCAGCCTCCTCCGCCGCCACTTCCCCAGACCCCGCATTGATGGGTTCTTGGTTTGGAGGTTCATCGTCTGCATGACGTTCCTGTTGCTGCTGCTGCTGTTGCTGCTGCTCTTGTTCTTGTTGTTCTTGTTCCTGCTGCTGCTGCTGTTGCTGTTGTAGCTGTTGGAACTGCTGCCAGGAGTCGAGTACCTTGGAGACGCAAAAACACAGCACACACGCGGCGTGGAACTTGAAATGAGCATCTGGAGCGTCGCGGATGGACGAGCAGCCGTACGACAGCGCGCCGTCGACGAGGAAGTGCCATGGCCGGAAGGTCACCGCCGCCGCCGCCGCCGCCGCCCCCAGCTCCGTCACCGGCCCTGTTGCAGCGGGCCGTTGGGGCTCGACGGCGGTAGCGGTGCCGGCGGGGGGTGCGGGGAGGTTGACAGCGTCCGCCGCGGGGGCGTGTGTGTTTTTGCCCCCCGTTACCCCGACGTCGCCTCCGCGTGCGCAGAGCCACAAAGATGCGCACGTGGCTTCCTGCGCCGCATTACAGAGCAGACGTGTACGGCTTGCTCCGTACTTCGCGGTAAACAGGAGTCGATAGCATTCACACATACACACACACACACACACTGTAACAACACACACACACACACACGTACGCACAACGACAGCAGCAGCAACACCATCCATCCGCCCGCCAACTAACGCGCTCGACGTACGCACACGTGGTGTACTACTGTACGACAACAGTACCTAACAGCGCCGTACTATCCCGCCACACCTCCTAGACCATGAAGTAAAGAAAGTCCTCCCGTATGCCGTACAACGTGACCATGGTCCGTACCGCACCTTGGGCATGGCCGTGACGAGGCCCTTGAGCGAGCAGATTCGGCCAATGGGCGAGAAGCGCCGAAGCTCCGAAACCAGGCTGCTCCCGCGCTGGTTCCGGAGCCAGTCATCAAGCCAGCTCCCCAGTGGAGCATCGCCCGGGGCAAGCGGCGACGCGGACGTAGAAGTAATACTGACCGCGGCGGCGGCGGCGGCGCCGCCGCCGACGATGGCGTCGTACATCAGCACGGATCCAGTGGCGCTGCCGCCGAAGAAGAGCCCCTGGCCGAAGGCGGCGGCGGCGGCGGCTGGCGGAACGCCCGGTAGCAGGGAGGCTGCCCACAGTACGACAGCCGCAGAGGCGAGGGCCTCTCGCACCAGCGCCCGGCCCTGGGGGCGCCGCGTCAAAGGGGGGTTCGGCCCCGTCAGGTTAGGGTTGCTTGCACACGCGACTCCGGACATGTGTGTGTATGTGTGTGTGTATGTGTGTGTGTATGTGTGTGTGCCCCATGGTAATGGGTGTTAATTCTAGAAGACTGATTGGGTGCGGCACGTTGTACGGCATGCGTACGACAGGTCGTAATATCACACTCTGCACGACAGCAGCTACTATATGTACTGCTACTGCATATCGTACCCGGGTGTGCACGGCAGCAGCACACTCATGAATGGGCGCGCCTAGTACGACCGGCAATTACCCCCCTCCCGCCAGCCACTCGTCCCCCGCATTCTCAAAGGGGGCCACACCCGGACCTCCCCCCACTGTACGACAACACTCGCCTGCAAGGCTCGAAGCATGGCCGTACCGGCAAGCACCACAGCCTCACGCCCGCCGCGATGCGGCGCCGAAACCACACCCACGGCTGCGTCGTCCTCCTTCCCCTCCCCTTCCCCCGCATTCCCCGCCCCCTCCAGGCGCATCCCACCACCTTCCCGCTCCATCGCCACCAAGTGCGGCCCGTGATGCTGTAGCAGGTAGTAGAGGGCCCCCACGGCATCCTTCGGAAGGGAGGAGTTATCAAGGCGAGGGGGGGGGAATACATGGAACCCGAGGCAAATTTCAAATTGTAACAGAAAGCTAGGAAAGAAAACTTCGAAATATTATAAATATATATATATATATATATGGAAAAAGATTAGTAAAGATTTTAAAAATGAGTTACAGCGACGCTCTGGGAGACGCAGCCCAACCCAAGCTGCGTCGCTATCCTTCCTGTACGACACGCCGCAACGCCGTACATACACATCCCTCTTTCCACCTGCTCCACAACATTTACCCCACCCACCCACCCACCCACCCATCCACCCCGACGTTTCTTCGGTAAGGATAAAGGAAAGGAATGGAAAGGGGGGGATTTGCCAAAGGGGGGGGGGAAAAGGCAAGGCAGACACGCACCCACCAGGACTTCTTCCATGAGACCTGGAGCAATGTGCAGCGCGCCGCGGTCCGCCGCCGCCAGCACGCCGTCCACACCCGCCGCCAACTGCCACACCACCGCCGCCGCGATGGGCCATATCCAGTCGTACGACGCTGGCAGCCATAGCAGCGACGCCAGGACCTCCCCTAAGGGGACACTGCACGGGGCCTCAGCCGCCGCCGACGGGCCAGATGCCGTCGGGCCACTGTTGCGGGCCGCCGTTGGGGCGGCTGTAGCGGCTGCCGTACTGGCGTCCAGGTCGCGAAGCGCGGACCGCAGGCACGACGTGACGGCTTGGCCAAAAACGCCTATGGGGTAGATTTTAATTATTTGTGTTATAGAATATTTTATATATTTTATTTATTCTCAAAGGTTTCACACATACATACGCGATCACACACATACACAATAACACACATAAATTCAGACACACATATATAGACATACACACACACACACACACTCACACACACACACACACACATACCTGCCTAGGCCGTCCCCCCCCTCCCCCGCCCGAACCCCCCTTCCCGCCGATCATGGACCACCGACACGCACCACCACGGCCTTGAACGCACCAGAACGCAATTGCGAACCATTGCGATACAGGCCGACTGCCGTATTTGGAGAAAAACACCGTTGCATTCAACAGCACTGCCGTACATGCGGACCCGCTGCCGTACATACCTAGTTGCTCTGTCGTCAGCCTCTTCGTTGCTCCAAGCACAGCCCGATGGAGAGGTCGGCTTCCCGGCTGAAACAGCAACCCCGCCAAGAGATCACAGGCAGCACGGGCTGACGGAGGCGGCGGCGGCGGAGGCTGTAGCGGCTGTGGCGGCGGGGGTTGCGGAGCTGGTTGCGTCCCGCCCTGGACGGCGGCACCACCGCCGTCATCTGCCGCTGGGTCTGCGCGGCCTGCGGAGGCGCCTGCGGCTCCGCCAGCAGCATCAGCAGTAGTATCAGCAGTAGTATCAGCAGTAGTATCAGCAGTAGTATCAGCAGTAGTATCAGCAGTAGCGCTCATGACCTTCTGGAAGGCTGCCAGCACCCGGCGGAGCTCCTCCACCTCTCCATACGTGTAATGAGCGCGGGAGAGGGTTTGAAGCTCCGAAGCCAGGTTGCGCAGCGGCGCCGGTGCGGCGGCATCAGCCTCCACAGCCGATATCTGTGGGCAGGATGCCGGGTCGGAGGGCAGGTCAGGGACTGGTGGGGATTGCGGGTTGCGGGGGCGACATGTGCAGAGGGGGGTTTGGCGGGGGGAGGGCGGGAGGCGCCTCGGCGAGTGTGCGCCTTGCAAGCGGTAGTAGTAGAAGGGGTCCCGTTAACCCCAAGAAACTGAGAGATTGATGCTGCGCAGGAACGCAAATTGCAATAGCCGCCACGCTGACGGCTGTCAATGAGCTCTTATTCCTATATTCAGAAATGCCTTCAAGCTTCATGTTTGATGTAGCACGAACATTATTACATGTAGACGACTTACTTCTTTTAAATAAACATTACTCCAGGATGTTCCCTCCTCGTTCCATCGTTGATGCCGCTGCGAGCGCTTAAACTTTCCCGACATTTTCTGGTTATATCATTGATTAAAATACGTTATGAACCATGGATTGAGGGGTTCCCTTACACTCCACTTAAGGTTAAAAAAATTAAAAGCAAGTGCAGCTGCACGTGTGCATTGAAGTGCTGCTACAATGGCAATTTCAATTATATAGCTAGAATCTTTACCATCCACATGGAAAGGGTAGGAGAAAGGAAAAAAACAGACGATTTGTCATACATTTTGGAGCCGCTCTTGCGGCATACCCGAAATTCAAGAGTTGAGTGCACATGTAGTACTGCTGCTATCATGTTGCGTCAATCTGACTTGGTAACTGTGCATCAGGTTTTGAGTCAACCAACGATCAACTGCTAACGTCATTGGCATCCTGCCTATCTTGCAGAAGTCGACCGTCTCAGACGTTAAAATTTGTGACATTGTTTGCCTGCATATTGCAAGACTGAAAACATCCTAAGAAAGGTTATGGCTTGCTTGATTTAACGGTGGACCTTGTCGAGCGTGTTGTTAGCTGCCTGGATCCAGACGAGGTAGTATGTACTGTCAATAAGGTCATAGATCAATAAGGTCACAGCGAGCCAATTTCGGGAAAAAAAACAGCTATCCGGTTGTTTCAGCCCATACCGCATCACGCGTTCGCCAGGCACTGGAGCCACCCGGAGGCAGTTCATAATTTCGCCCGGAGTCAGCGCCTAAGGTTCTTTGTCCTGACAGCCCATAGCGGCAGCCTGGCCAACCTGCGGGTCGCCATCAAGGCGGCGGGCTGCTTGCCCTCGTCGGAGGTCGTATTCGCGCAGCAGCCGAGGGCGGCCATCTTGACATGTGCCTGAGATATGGCTGCAGGAACAAAACCGCCCTTTCTGGCCATCTGGCTGGTGCGCTATAGATGCTTGCAATTCCCTTCCCTTTGCCATTTACTTGGCAGGTTTCTTTTTCTGTTCTGGGGGCCATCATGGCCATGATTGACTTGATCCCACTGCCTCCCGCTCTCCCCCTCGTCTCAAGGTGGCCCTCACGCCGCACTGCCGTGCTGCCAGCCGTCTGTTCAGGAGGAGTAAGTACGACCCGTGTGTGTCCCCGTGCAGGGGGATGCGCTTGCATACTTTGCGCGCATCTCCTATGTGCCTGCCCTGTGGATGACAAGGCCATTGCCTGGTGAAGCTTAACCACCCTGTAAAAACATCAACAAGGCAGCCAGGTAGCACGATAAAGGCGCCCTAGGCAGGTCCATCATGAACCGCCACGGTCCATGTGACAGGGGGGGGGCTGGGGCAAACACTTAGGCCAATAAAGTGTTTTCGTGCATGCACACAGCTGGCTAGCTGGCTGTTGGCTTACTTATTAACTTGAGTGTGCAGACAGGGAGGGGAGAGGGCCGTGCAGGCTCCGGCGGCTAAGGCAGTCAGGACGGGCAAGGTGCTGGCCAGAGACTGGGACCGACAGGGCACTGTCCGCACCTAAACCAGAGACTGGGACCGACAGGGCACTGTCTGCACCTAAACCAGAGACTGGGACCGACAGGCCACTGTCCGCACCTAAACCAGAGACTGGGACCGACAGGCCACTGTCCGCACCTAAACCAGAGACTGGGACCGACAGGGCACTGTCCGCACCTAAACCAGAGACTGGGACCGACAGGCCACTGTCCGCACCTAAACCAGAGACTGGGACCGACAGGGCACTGTCCGCACCTAAACCAGAGACTGGGACCGACAGGGCACTGTCTGCACCTAAACCAGAGACTGGGACCGACAGGGCACTGTCCGCACCTAAACCAGAGACTGGGACCGACAGGCCACTGTCCGCACCTAAACCAGAGACTGGGACCGACAGGGCACTGTCTGCACCTAAACCAGAGACTGGGACCGACAGGCCACTGTCCGCACCTAAACCAGAGACTGGGACCGACAGGCCACTGTCCGCACCTAAACCAGAGACTGGGACCGACAGGCCACTGTCCGCACCTAAACCAGAGACTGGGACCGACAGGCCACTGTCTGCACCTAAACCAGAGACTGGGA